GAGGAAGGAAAAACTAATCTCTGATAGCTGACCTCTCAGTCTTAGGCATGCATACCTCCTATTACCTTCCAGGTCACAAGAATCAAATTATAGCCTTAAAAAAAGTGATTTTATTAACAAAACAAAAATATATACTTGGTAAGCATACTTGGTTGCTAGGTGTTTTAAAGTAACTGAGAAAAGAACAAATCAAACACAGAGAGGAAGGAAAAACTAATCTCTGATAGCTGACCTCTCAGTCTTAGGCATGCATACCTCCTATTACCTTCCAGGTCACAAGAATCAAATTATAGCCTTAAAAAAAGTGATTTTATTAACAAAACAAAAATATATACTTGGTAAGCATACTTGGTTGCTAGGTGTTTTAAAGTAACTGAGAAAAGAACAAATCAAACACAGAGAATTTCATCCCTGGGATTCATCTGGAAGCACAGTGTATATGGGGTGGGGGAGGGCATATGGACTTAGCACAGAGTCTAACCAAACAACAGACATATGGGTTGCAGAAGGAGCCAAGGCATGTGGATCCTGGAGGGTCTGTCTGCTCATCATGGCTGGGGGAGGTGGAGCAGGGGAAGGAAAAAGAAAAGAGTCTCACATGTGCTCCCTCTTTTTATATAGTGTCTGAATGGCTCCTGTGACTGATTCACCTCATCATCAGGCAGCAGGCCCAGACTTCCCCTTATCCAGCAGGGAGCATGCCCAGACTGTGATGACTCATTGACATGTGGTCCATTGACATGTGTTCCCAATCTTCTTCAAACACACTCTCTCTCCATTCACCCAGGGGACAATGCCACTTAGGGAAAGTTACAAGCAAAGTGGCTGAGAGTTACAAAGATTACAAAGTTGCAGTTTACAGTAAATTTGAGAGTTACACAGATTACAAAATTTGACAAAGATCACAATGAGGTGCAGTTTAAAACCTTAGACCCTACAGTTTGGTGTAGCTTTGCAAATAAGTTCAGGCAGAGGCTTTTTTATGCAACACTAGCTACCTGGGTCTAACCTTTTGGTTATTGAATGCTAGGATGCTCAGAAAATACCAGCATTCCTCCCATCCACCGTAGAATCATTCTTCAGAATAGGGACACTGCAGTAGTTAACCCAAATGGTATGTGATTGAATTGGCACTAACCTTCTGATTTAATGAAAGCTATGCACTTGCAGGCTTTTTACAGTAAAGGGTATCTGGCGTTTAGCTGAGGATAAATAAAGGTTAGTAAAGACTGTTGCCTATTTCAAGGTGAGAAGTACATCACCGATGTTGGGTAGAAGATGACAATCCACAACGGTGTTGAGTTTAGAGCTCTGAAGTCCACACATGCAATAGCGCCATTTGGCTTCCTGGAGAGAATGACAGAAGAAATCCATTCTGATGAGTCAACATGTTCAATCATATGTTTTGCACAGATTCAGAACCTCCTCCCGGAGGAGCTGTCTGAGTGCAACAGGTACGTTTCACACTTTATTGTGTACAGGCACCACAAATTTTTTTTAGTAGGATCTTGTGCTTGAACTTTTTTCAACATCTGTGCATTGGTGAAACTTTCCGCAAAGTCAGAGATAATTCCTGGTTGTGGTGTATCCTTAGTTTGCAGGATCGGTCCTATGCTATTTGGATCTAATATAATCTGAAGATTCCTTTGATGAGACCATCCTAAAACAGAAACTCTCTTTTGAGCTACATCAATTTTTCCCTTGAATTTTTACTCAAGGGTAGCTATAAAATGGGGATGGGTATTCTACTAAACCCTCCAGGGTATACGTCTAGAAGATGCAAGTCTGGTTGTGAGTTGGAAAATAGCAGTGTACAATTGGTTGGAAATTACTGTGCATAGTACAGGCAGTCCCCGGGTTACGTACAAGATAAGGACTGTAGGTTTGTTCTTAAGTTGAATCTGTATGTAAGTCGGAACTGACGTCCAGATTCAGCTGCTGCTGAAACTGACCGCCAGTTCTGACTTACATACAGATTCAACTTAAGAACCCCAAGCGTCCCCAAGTCAGCTG